TTAACGAAAGTATAAATTTCTATTATTGCAGAGTACAGACGTTGCCAAACATTATAGTGCAAAACATGGTTTTTCTCAAAAATTTTAAATTTCAAATTACTCAAAAATATTTTAGTCAAATTGGAAATAACTTTCTTTTTTCTTTAAGAGGATCGCTCAGTGCCGAGGAGATTAAAATATGCAGATTTTCATATACAAATATTTCCTTCTTGCTTCGCTTTTACGTAAGACTTGCACTAGTATATTCATGTTTCTAAAATCTCAATTTTAAGGTCAGGAATTTACAGTTTTAAGGTTAGGAATTTTAAGGTCAGAAAAAGGTTTTTCACATATTCCTAATTTTAATACCAATACACGATTAGCTTTTACAAGGGCACTATGTACTACTTAGTATTTTTTAAAATCACCACGAGTATCTCTATATTGAGGATCGAATCGAAAGAGGCTGTAACCGGCCTCTTTTGCCTGTCATATTGCTTATGTCCGAATACAAGTTCATTGATATTAACTGCTTTAAAATAGATTGGTTGTCAAGTGACCGTTCCCGTACATGTTTAGTATACGACATGTCTGGCAAGTGGATAGACTGGGGAAGAAGCGGTATTTGCTGTGTTTCGAAGAATACTTGGACATTTTGAGCAACATGTGGTCGGGCGTCATCTGATTGATATCCTGAAGTTATATTAATAAGATGCTGAAGGAAGAATGTTACCTGAAACTGCGCGATATAACTGATATAGTGATTATTGTTGAAAATATCCGTAATTCAAAATAGCCAGATTCGTCATATGATAATGAATGAAACCTCAGGCTATCATGCATAATTTTCATTCATTATGGCTGTCTGATATGCTTGCTGAAAGATGGTCATCATAGTGCTTTTTAATACGTATGCTGTCATCGTTCATGCCCACGTATAGGATATTGTCTCTAGCAATAGGTATTGCCTCTGGGCTTCTCACCCAGTATAACTTACTACATATCGGCAAATCATTATCAATGTTCATGCGTCTGTCTTCGCCTGAAGCATTAATAGTTCAAGTTAAGGAAATTTTGCTCCATTTTTGTGCTGATAGAGAAGAAGCTACATGTATAAAATTTGTTTCCTTTTGAAACTCTGTAGTTTGATTACATGGTGCCCTTTAAAGTTGATGAGGGTACAGTGATTGCTATTAGAGAATTTCTAGCTAATTGATGACAGTGCGCAACTGGACTGGCTTCTGTATAAACACTCTACGCAACTGCTCAGCCCAGGTGTGCGCATTCAGTCTGCATTTTCTGTCAGACTATGCTTTTATATAGTTTTACTCTACTGTACCGTTTCCTTCACGGTATGGTAGCTTTGTTAACGTTTAATTTTTCGTCCTGCGAAGTCCGAATGGTATTTTTGCTTTTATTTAAAATGCGAACATATTGATCCAGCATTTATTTTGTGCAACGGTTTTGCCAGTATAAAATGCGCTAGTTGAAGTATAGCAAGATATCTGTGTTGCTAAGGAAAAACTATACAATAGGTAAGGTATATTATATAAGTTATCGGGTATATTATTGAGTAGTCCAAGTTTTTCTCATCTGCCAAAATAGACGACAAATCTTTTAAATTCTGATATTGAAATCGGCAAATAGAAAATTTAATCGGAATTCACCTTACGGATACAAAGCACGATGATTTCTCTGTGTGTACGCTGATCTACTTTTCCCTTTATCGAATTTCTGACGACTCAGCATAACGTATAACTAACTGTCTTTGCCACGATCTATTTGCCATACTGGGTACCCTTCCGCTTTTGGAAAGTGAACCAACACTACATATATTATTTCTGTCAATTTTAGCTTTAGGTTTGTTATTTGGTATGATTTGATAGTTTCTTTAGAAACTTGGAAATGCTGACCAATTTGTCCCACGTAAATTAATGGTAATTGCTCTGTCATCTTACGAAAAGATTGCAAGAAAGATGTACATTCCGATGTAAATTTGTAGATTTTTCCGTAGTTTATTTAACCTACTTTCAAATTTTTTTTTATCTTTCCTGAACTCCTCAACATTTCCTCGCCAGGATGTAAATTTAAAGTGAAGTGAGTCTTTAAATGGGTGGATATCAGAGTTTATTCAGAGCGTGTTTGCGCTAGCCAGCGCACGTTTCGTTTCTGACCTTGCTGTTACGCTGATGCGCCTTTTGGCCATTTGAATTATTATCACGCCTGTTAGGTTGTCGAGTCAGCCTAATTAGCCATAACTTAAAAGTGCTAATCCACGCACTATTCTTTTTAGACTTGAATCGATTTGTGTAATAACGTTTAAGTTCCACCGCCAGTTGTCGGTGGTGTTGTAAAGCATGAAGTACGTGCCTTTCTGTTCATAGTTGAAATTAATAAAGAGTTATATACCCTTGTTCTACACTGGTGTGCAAAAATTAAGGACGAGACGGTTTTTTCAATATAACTTTGTACAAAAGCTTTCCAAATCAACACATTTAATACCGTAAGATCCCCAATACGTAAGGACATGAGTAATGTAAGCAACATTTACTAAAAAAGAAATCAGAGGGATAAAAAGAAGCTTTATTGAAAAAGTAGCATGGAGCGCAATGCGATTGAAGGCCGAAACATCCCTGTGATGGGTGTCCAGCAAGAAACATCCGGTCTTTAATAGAGGATATGATCTCCCCTGACTGCTAGGCAGGTTTCACAGCGTCTGCCCATGCTGAGAATGAGGGTGTCAATGAGTTGTTGAGGCATTGCTGCCCATTCGTCTTGCAGCGCCAATCGAAGCTCCGGAATCGTTACTGGTGTTAAGGTACGAGCTGCTAAGCGTCTGCCTAGAAAATCCCATACATGCTCGATGGGATTGAGATCCGGAGATCGTGCCGGCCAATCCATACGTTCAATATCCTCACTCTCTAAGAGCTGTTCGGCAGCTACTGTGCGATGAGCTGGTGCATTGTCGTCCATGAAAAGGAACTGCGGACCCATAGCGCCTCTAAAAAGACGCACATATAGAAGAAGAATCTCGTTACAATAACGGGTCCCGTTGACTGAACCTGCGTCGAAGATGTGAAGGTCTGTACGACTACCAAGCATGATGCCTCCCCAAACGAGAACACCGTCACCTCCATACTTGTCCCTTTCAATGATGTTCAAGGGATGATTGCGGCTTCCCCGCTCTCTCCAGATGGTCATGCCCATATTCCACATGCCCATATTCGTAGGAGGATTAAGTCATTTAAAATTCGATGGCTCTGGGTACCGTTGTTTTATCACAATGCGAGAAATAGATATACATTTATGCAGATTTTTCATTATTTAGTTTCTTCAAGTATAATGCAGGACTCTAACATTTGGTGGCAACAGTTTGAAGAGTGAAACGGGCATTTATAGTGATTCAACGCAAAATCACAACAAAACGAAAACAATAGTCCTTCAAGAACAAAGCCCCTTTGGACTAATAAATTGCATTTAACTTGAACTAAAAAGAAATATACGAAACTTCTCAAGAGGGGCAAAATTTAGAACAAATAATGACAACTTATTCTCTTTCTTTTATTTATTATATTTTTCTACGACGCATATTCAAAAATTTATATTTGTATCTAAATAATTGTAAACTTCTTTGTTTTTCGTTATACCTTTTGTTGATAGCAATTGGTAGTTGTGGACTTATATTAATTCATAAAAGTCAAGTTGAGAAACTTAACAACATTTATTTTCTTTCAATAATAATAGTGCCGCTTAAACGGGCAAAGAGTGAGTAAAGAACAATTAACAATTGACTGCCGCTTTGTTCGGGCAGAGGAGCGGAGACTCGTTGTGGACCGAGTGCATCCCTATTGCTTACTGATTAGTACTGGGCTCTCGCCACTAACATTACGTGGCGCTGCAAACATTAAGCCAGTACAAATAGACATAAATATTCTAACCGAGACGGAACATTCCGCCCGGCATTAAAATTTGATACAAAAATTTCAATTAATTAATTAGTGACAAATCACAATATTTCAACTGATAATCACATAAATAATTGTCAGATTACTACAGATCTAAAACTGAATTATGGAGTTTAAGAACCTTAAATATTGAAAATAGTAATTATGCAAACGATATATACTAAGTTGACATAAAAAGTGTTACAATACACATACATTTCAAAATAAGCCATACAAATCCTTTAAACATATAATCATTATTAAATTCTTGTAATGTATAAACTGATTCCACCAATATATATAAAGTCAGTAGAAATTTGAATATTACATTGGCAATAAACAGATATTTGATATAGATTTAGTGCAGATTCCTGAAGCAGTTTTAACTTTAGCTACACGTACCTTACCATCTGTACCAGGGATTGTCTCTAAAATTCTACCTAAGGCCCAATGGCAAGGCGGCAAATTCTCATCCTTAAGTAAAACCATTGCACCTGTTTCTACATTGGATTTCTGAAACTGCCATTTATTGCGCTGTTGCAAGTGATTGAGGTAATCTGTTTGCCAACGCTTCCATATTAATTGAACAAATTTTGTTGTCCGCTGCCACCTTGATAACCTATTATCAGTAATTTCAATAAGTTCAGGCTCTGGTATAGACGTGATTGGACGGCCGACTAAAAAATGTCCTGGCGTTAAAACTTCAAATTCATTAATATCATTAGACATAGGGATTAACGGGCGTGAATTTAAAATTCCTTCAAACTGAGTAATGATTGTAAGAAATTCTTCCATCGTAACCTTAGTACTTCCCATAGTTCTTCTAAGATGGTATTTAAAGGATTTAACTCCCGCTTCCCACAGTCCACCAAAATTCGGTGATCTAGGGGAAATTAATTTCCAGATTATAGATTCTGAGGTGAAATAGCTGGATAACGCCTCATCTGGTTTTCTAATCAATTTCTGTAAACGCTTTAACTCTGTATGAGCCCCTTAAAATTTGTGGCATTATCTGTAATGATGGAAGAGATTTTCCCTCTTCTCGCACAAAATCGCTTAAGAGCTGCTATAAAGGCTTCAGATGTCAAGTCTGTTCACTACCTCCAAATGGATTGCCTTTGTGGATAAACATATAAATATAGCAACATAGATTTTAGGAAAAATGCCCTTGCGTTGACCCTTGAATTGTACATGAAATGGTCCGCAAAAGTCAACGCCACAATTAAGAAAGGGTGAAGTCGGAGTTATACGCTCAGTGGGAAGATTACCCATGACCTGACTTGCTGCAATTGGTTTGTTTTTAAAACAAATCACACAAGCATGAACTATCTTACGAGCCAAGCCCTTGCCGTGAATGGGCCAATATTTCAAACGCACCTGATGAAGTAAACCCTGCGCTCCAATATGTAGGTACTTCTTATGAAAATATTCAAAAATCAATACAGGAACTCTATGAGTAGGAGGCAAAATTAACTGGTGTTTACAATCAAATAATAAATTTGATTTTTTTAATCTTCCTCCAACTCTTAAAAGAGAATTCTCATCTGGAAAAGGGTCAAGACCTTTTAACTTACTTTGTGCAGGAATAGGTTTACCTCGTCGAAGAGCTGTAATTTCCGAATTAAAGGCAGTTAATTGGGCATGCCGTATAAGAAACTCCTCAGCCTTTTTCATCTCATCTATAGTTAAATATCTCTGCATCTTATCCTGGGATTTACAATTTAAGATAAACCTGAAAATAAAACTGAGAATTCTGATTAGCTTAGGAAAATTATTGGAAAGTTTTAAAAAAGAGTCTATAAAATGTTCGTTCATTGTCAAAGTCAGAACTGGAATTGATGATTGTTTCAGTTCTTTCTCATACTCCTCGTCCGACGAATAAGAAATGCATTCTGGAAATGGAAGTTGCTGATTGAGGAACTCAGGACCCGACCACCACAAGGAATTAGCCAAAAGTTCACTAGTGTCTGCTCCTCAGGATATTATATCCGCTGGATTTTCCTTTGAGGCAACATGACCCCATTTGAATCGATGACTCAAGTTTTGAATTTCAGCAATTCGATTGCTCACAAAAGTTTTGAGCTTGTACGCAGGCGTGTTTATCCATGCTAGAACAATAGTAGAATCACACCACAAATAAACATCATCGATACTTAGCTGCAGAACTGTTATTACCTTTGACACAAGCCTACACAGAAGTAATGCTCAACACAATTCAAGACGTAGAATTGTAACAGGCCTTATAGGAGAAACTCTGGATTTGCTACAAAGGAGATTGGAATAATTCATTCCATCAGTGGTAATACAACGGATGTAAATAGCTGCACCATACGCCTTTTCCGAAGCGTCCGAGAACCCATGGATCTCAGTTCTAACGGAATGTTCAATTAAAACATATCTGGGAATATTCAATTGATCGATTAACTGAAGCTGGGAAAGGAATTTTTTCCATTCACACAACTCCTTGGGAGGTAATTCCTCGTTCCAGTTCAGTTTCAGCAGCCATAGTCTCTGCATGAATATTTTTGCCCTCGTTACTACGGGTCCGATGAGACCCAATGGATCAAAAAGCTTAGCTATTTCAGATAACACCTGACGTTTAGTAAAGCTATCTTGATTGTTCACAGCTGTTTTGAAAGTCAAGTGATTATCCTTCGGTTTCCAGAGCATTCCTAGCGTCTTCACTACACTTTCTTGAGATTCAAAGGAATATTCCTGTGTTGAAATATCATGCAGCAGCTCAGGATGATTGGACACCCATTTATGTAGCTCCATACCTCCACGACGAAGCATTTGTACTAATTCAGACTGAAGCTCCTTTGCTTCTTCTAAAGTATTTCCTCCTGTCAGGATATCATCCATATAAAAATCCGTAGATGTGACCGCAGCCGCCCTGAGAAAATAGTCCTGTTCGTCAGCTGCCAATGCCTTTAAGGTTCTCATGGATAAGAACGGCGCGCTAGTAGTGCCGTATGTAACCGTACGTAACCTATACACTTGAACTGGGGCCTCGCGGCTTGGCTTCCAAACAATTCTCTGTGATTTCTTTGCGATGGATGTATGAGTGTTTGTCGATACATCTGCTTAATATCGGCACTAAAGGCAAAGCTATGTTTTCTAAACCTGGAAACTATAGAAAAAAAATCTTCTTGAATTGTGCCTCCGTTCAATAGAATTAAATTTAGCGAATAGCCACTGGATGATTTGCATGATGAATCGAAAACAACTCTTAATCGAGTTGAAGTTTTCTCCGGGCGATAAACTGCATGATGGGGAATGTAGTAAAAAGTGTCACAGTTATCCACGGGCATAACATGTTCCATGTGATTTAAGTTTAAATATTCGTTCATAAATTTCTTATATAAATTAGCCATAGTTTTATTAGCATCAAGACGATTCCAAATTGTATTCAGTCTCTTAATAGCAATTTCTTTAGATGAACCCAGCATAGAAGTAGCATCATCCTTCATAGGTAATTTTACTATGTATCTACCTGTTTTATCACGCGAGTATGTTTCATTAAAATGCCTTTTGCAAAATATTTCTTCTTCATTCTTTACGACTTCCTTACCATCTCCCGGGAAGGATTCTAATTCGAAAAACTTCTTAATTGCATTATCGAGACTTGATTCCTTTATCAAATAACAATAGGATTGATTATTAACAGTAGGTAGAACCCCTGTCATTAAATAACCAAATTCTGTGTTTTGCAATATTATGTTTCCATTCAGCGCTTGAATTCTACCTTCCTTCAAGATGTGAAAGAATAGTTCATTTCCTATCAATATATTGATTTTACCAGGTGTATAGAAGTTAGGATCTGCTAATTTAATGTCATGCGGTATCGTTAAATTAGAAATATCCAGTTTTGTCGAAGGAATTACATCTGTTATTTTTGGAATAATACATAATTCTAAATTGTGAGAAAAGTCTCTGTTTCGTTCGAAATATGGGCTAAAATCTTCGCTTTGATTGAATGAGCTGAACCACTTATTCCCGAAATGTGCGTTCGGATGGGTTTAGTTTTCAAACCCAAAAATTCTGCGCATTCTTTGGTGATGAGGCTCATTTGCGAACCGCAGTCCAGTAAGGCTCTTATTCTGCAGCGCTGCCCGAACACATTCGTCACATAAATAACCACCGTACTCAGTAAGACAGAGTTTCCCGCACCGGAAATAGATGCAAGACTATGTACTGCTTGCTGTATATTGTCACCCGAAGCTTCTTCGGAGGGGTTTGTTTTCCCCTGGTTTGAAGGAAAGCAGGGAGTGGCCGTTGGACTCTGACGGTCATTGTCCATATGGAGAAGGGAATGATGTTTTCGGAAACAGTGGCTGCACGAAAAGTTTGAATTGTATTCTCCGGAATGAGTTTTTAGACAATTCACACATAATTTTTTATTTTTGACGATAATGAGCCTATTTCCAACATTCATTTGTTTGAACGCACTACATTTAAAGAGGGCATGGTTTCCTTTACAATGGATACATTTTTTTTGAGTTGGAATGAATTGAATTTATAACAAAACCTTTTGGTTTTGCACCGATACTGGGTTTAGGAGGAAATTTCATAGGCATATTTTTATGAATGCTTTCTAGTACCAAAGTTCGGTTTTCAAGAAAATTTTAAAATTCATCGAGTAATGGAACATCTTTAGATTTTAAGGTAAGCTCAAATTGCTTCCGGGTTTCCTTGTCAATTTTATGAAGGAGAATGTTTATTAAAATTGCGTTAGATAGTACTCTAACCTATCGTTAGATAGCCTATCAAGATTGTACTCTAACGTTTTTAAGGCGCGTAGATTGCGTTTGGTATGATCTAATAATCGGCGAAGTTCCTTAGGTGATTCCTGCTGAATTTTTTCTTGATTCAAAATATTTTGAATATGACTATCCACTATCGCCCGTTTATTTTCATATCTTAATTCTAAAGCTTGAAACAGTGACTTGGTATGTATCTTCGCAATTCTCGATATTTTTTGCTTCTCCTTTAAGAGCAGCCTTTAAATAATAAAGTTTTTGTGTTTCAGTTAGCTTCTTATTTTCAGCAATTAAGGATATAAATTGGCATTTGGAGAATTTATGAAATCATGAAATTCTTCATATTTTCCAGAGAATTGAGGTAATGGTATTTCAGGCAATTTAACATTAATATTTTCAACAGTATTTTTACGTACTGGTAATGCATTAACTTTTGATTTTAATTTTGAAAGGAGGTATTTGAGACTTACCTCCATTTTCTCCAGATCGTCCTCCAGTCCTTCAATAATCTCACAGGATTCCTCTATGGAGACGTCTGCTGGTAGATTGAAGTACCGCTGTTTTAATTCATCCAAGGATCGCTTTATTCCTGATAGTGATTGCAATTTCACTTCTAAAAAGGATTCACTTTCTTCATTTTCGACGAAGTCATGCAGAGAATGTTCCAGTTTTGTGACTTTTTGCTTTCAGACAACCGCGTTGCCTATTTAAAGTAATTACATTATCCATAGTTGCTGTTCTTTCTTCGGGTCGGTTAGGACCAAAATGTTGATAGCAATTGGTAGTTGTGGACTGTATATTAATTCATAAAAGTCAAGTTGAGAAACTTAACAACATTTATTTTCTTTCAATAATAATAGTGCCGCTTAAACGGGCAAAGAATGAGTAAGGAACAATTAACAATTGACTGCCGCTTTGTTCGGGCAGAGGAGCGGAGACTCGGTTTGGACCGAGTGCATCCCTATTGCTTACTGATTAGTACTGGGCTCTCGCCACTAACATTACGTGGCGCTGCAAACATTAAGCCAGTACAAATAGACATAAATATTCTAACCGAGACGGAACACCTTTCAGCTACAGCGCTTTAAAGCATTTCGATCTTCATTAAGTTTGTAATCTTGGAAGAAAATTAGTAGAAAATATCGTCTTCACAAATTATAGATACTTATCGGCAATCTCGTTCTTTTCGTAGACTTACTAATGTTCAAATACGAGGGAGGGGGAAGGTTAACATGTGAATGTGTTCCCAAACAAAGCGATTATTCTAAATATTCGTAACTGTGACGGTATTTATCTTTTGACAAGTTCTAGTAAAAGTTAATCAAATTTGTATCTTCAATTCTTTGAATAAGATTTATATCTCAGTGTAAATTAATTAGTTCCATTTCTAGATTTTCCGGAGAGTTACTGACGTTCGTTTCTGGTAAAGAAAATAATCTAAGATTGAACTTCAAAACAACTAAAATTCTTATCATAATAATTCTAATTATTTTACGGGAAATGTGTTCGCATCCGCATGAAATACTTCGGAGATGGCATGTCTAGTTTGAGATTAGACCAATTTGAGTCCACTGTCTGAGAGACGGCTTAAGTGATAAACATAGCACATATAGACATTATTATTATTATTGTATTATGTATTTCTGAGGACTTATCAATATCAATATATTCTTTTTACTAATGCAAAATAATTTTCTGTTTATGCATGCATTTTAAATTGTTATCGTAAAACAGAAGCTGAAATAAGTAGGGATGGATGTGCGAGTAGATACGATATCTCAGAGGAAGATTGTAAACTATTTCTTTTTTTTTTAAATATTTGAATCGTCATTAATTACTTACCACAGTACAGGAAAAAATTTTAGGAAGTGATGATACTGTTGCGTGCGCACAGGTTAATAGATTGAATGCACATATCCGGTGATAGGTTGATAGAATTTATTTTATCAGAAGTACAAGTAACATTTCAGAGTTCTGGAACTTTCAACAGAAATAGTCGTACAGGTTTTCACAGTATCTCAAAGTATGATTAGTAATTACGTTTCAAATTAGTAAGAACGTTAAACACAATGACTGCAAAGCGTATCCAAGTGACGGAGTTTTCACGGTTATCTCAATACCCTGGAGTATCACTCACTGAGGGCAGATGCTGTCTCCGGCCTTAAATAGTTTTCACCCGGAAAGGCGTCTCAACACGATCTCCATGAAGCGTTCAAAAGTTACCATCGCCATTACATAATCCAAATGTCATCATATTGAACTGTCAAAGTTCTTGTCCGGTAGTATATCCACTCTTTAAATCAAGCGTCGCAAACCACTTGCTTTCAGAAAAAGCATTCGGAATATTTACAATTCTAGAAAGTGGATAGCTGGCTTTCTTTATAACCTCGTTCAACCCGCGATAATCAACGCCAAAGTCTAGCTGAACAGACTTTCTTTCTGACTAGGACGATGGGAGAGGCCCATGGGCTTCCTCAGTAGCGTCGCTTTCTTACATGTCCTTTAAAAGTTTTCCTATCTCTTCCTGTTTAGCAATCGGCAGATGTCTCGGATGCTGCTTGATTGGCGGTTGATCCGCAATATCGATTCTCTCCTGAATCAATCTGGTTCGGCCTACATCAAAAGATAAGCTGCAGAAAACATCTTGAAATTTTTGAATTACTCATTTTGCAGTATTTCTCTCTTCATAGCTTATTGTCGATTCTGCAATAACTCCGATGTTAGCCTGTCTAAAGACACGGATTCTGGAAGGTTTCTGTTTCATTTTATGCAGCTCATTGGAGTATATTCTACAGCCACTTCACCTTTCGTAATGATTTTCGCTTTATCACTGACGTGGGCAACTCTCACTGGAATAACTGTTCTTGATAGTAGATGAGTGCCTAGGCTACGAGTTCTCCTCGCGGAGTGTTACGGTTCTTGGGATACTCCATTACACGGTACTGGAAATTTCTGTTTTCGGCTATGGATTCAGGATGTAAAAATTATGTTCTTGCTAGTATTGTGATATCGTCTTGAACTATGATTTGGTGAACTGGTTTAACTCTTTCATCATTAATTCCGAATAGAGTTATGTACTCACAGGCAAAATGCAGATCGTAATTTTTAAAGTCCAAGAAAAAGTTATGTATTTCCTCACAAAGTCCAATCGGAGTATGCGAGGATCTTGAATACCTACCACATATGATGGCAGGCGGCACTTCCAATCGCGATGTTAACGTTTAATTTCCCGTCGATGTCGATCTTTCCGGACATGGTCTAGAGGATAACGCAGGAGGGGGGCCCTCAGATTAAGCCAAATCTTTCCGAATGATGGTAACATTGGCTACTATATCCATGGTCATATTGCACGGAAATCCATCGATATGTCCCGTGATGAAGAGTCCGTTTCTTCTGCCACTCACTGCAGAAATCTGAAGCGTTTAAAATAGAACTCCTTATTATCTTTAAACCTCCGCTCTGCGAGAAGCCACTAATTTGTTTCGTGCGACTTGCCTGGGGAGTGGGTTTATTTTCCGTGCTTCGGAGGTGTTCTCCAGTCCTTTCATATGTGGTCTTAATCATTGTGCAGTTCCAGCACTTTAGAATCAGTTTCTTGTCACTTCTATTCCGTCTCAAGATATTAACTTATCTGATTACATCATCTAGAATAGCCGTTACTTGATCCACTGTGTCCTGGACTTCAGCAGCTCTAATTGGGTCGTGGTTTG